AAACAAAATGTTCCTTCGCTATGCATAAATGATCCATATATTCGAAGTACTGCACAAACTTGTCACTTTATTCGGTAACTACTCTGTCAAGTGACGCCTTACACGAATCCTTCTTTGCCTATCGCATAAACTCTATTTCTCTTCTCCTAGCATAGCGTGACCTACGACATCATCGTTTCGTGGCTGCTTTCTTCTCGTATAAACGAACGAACGAAGGAATGGGGAGTTGTATCGTACGGTTACGCTCATGCCTTTAAATCCTTCCGAGTGAACGGTGCCACCGTGAAGAACATACGACCGCGCGAACCACCCTCGGTGTTGCTCGCGCTAAGGGAGTGGAAGTAGCATCTATATATCCTCAGTCACGACACTACTTTCTCCTTCTTTCTACCTCTACTTTCGTCTTTCCATTCCTCTTTACTCTTTTCATTTCTCTCTCTCTCTCTTTCTCTCTCTCTCTCTCTCTCTCTCTCTCTCTTTCTCTGTCTTTTCCTCTCTTTCTTTCGTTGTACCTTTTCAGATTTATTTATCGTCCGCCTAGAATCTTTGTCCCTGCCAACTATTCCTTACGACGGTGCACAGAATTTGTCCAACCTTTGCCCTACTCCACCGCAAACTCAACGATTTCTTAGTTCCCTTTTACTACAACGAATTTTTATCAAATATACTCCCAATTTTTTCTTATCATCGTCTTTCTTAAATGGATCTGACAATATTTTGATGTGGCCGAATTGGTAAGGGTAAATTTATCGTAAAAAACACAATATCATTGGCACGTTATACTACTTGGGAATTTTCCGCCTTGACAAACTCTTAGCGACTTTACTCTTTGCCAATGTTAAATTATTTTTCCAAATAGCAATTCATCCCTTGCGTATTATGACGCGTGTGATATGAGTATATAATAGGAAATTGGTGCCAAGACGTGAGTATATTAAATTTCTTGAGACGTGTTATTTGAATTACGCAACAATTGGAAACAGACGAAACGATGTCCATGTAAATGTTATTATTGTAGTATAATGTCCTTGCAGACTTTTTATACTGACCACAACTTTCTTCAATACTATATGGCAAAGTTTAGAGAAAGAAAACGGAATAAAAGATGAGAGAGAGAGAGAGAGAGAGGGGGGGAGGGAGAGAGAGGGGAAGAGAGAAAGAGAGAGAAAGAAAGAGGGAGAGAAAGAGAAATAGAGAATAAGAGAAAAAGAGACTGGAGCGACCATAGATTAGAAGGTACGTCAATCCAGAGTAGCAAAAAGTAAGGACGGCTTTCCCGATATTTTTCCTTTTACCCAAAGTCGCGGAGCGAGAGATCGGGAGTACAATACGTATGAGCCAGGTATAATACATCGAATCGAGACGAAATGCCTTTTCACAAGTTCTTTTGAGCTTTCAAAGCTCGGAACAATATCTGACTTGAGATTGGGGTCGCGGGAAGTCCCTCGGGTAAGAAGTGTTATCTACGTTTCCCCAAGCCCGAAACGAGAGACCTCTCTCCCCTCCTGCCACCATTCAGACCACCTTCAACCCCTTTTGCCGACCAAGCACTCACCTCCCATTTTAATCACTACTTCTGATAGCCTCGCCGATTGGATCGGGGACCTTTCCGTACACCCGGTGTACAGTTACAGTTCTGAAAGACGAAGGCATTTTACGACGTGCTAACCTCACGTCGCTTTAAAGATTATAATTATATACCTTCTACTGCAACGGCAACACGCAAACGCAAAACCCCCTTAATTTTTATGTACGGATAAATTTGAAATGCTTATTTTATTTTCTCGCAGAATAAATTCGAGAAACTTTTTCCTCTCTTTCATCGTCACGTCGAAAACAATACATATATGTAGGTATTGAATCGATCGCAACCTGATATCTTTAATAAGAAAATATTCACTATCTTAGACACGGAACATCTTTGCTGATCATCCAATAAAGATTGGAATCTGATTGTCTCTCGAAAGAATTCGTATCGAGGATTGTTGTGAATTTAACGTAAAGACGCTCATCCAACATAATGCATTCCATTGACTAACTTAATATATATTTAAACATGCTTCTTACTTTTCCGACATAAATTTATTAAGTTATTTAACTTACCTAATTATAGTTAGAACGTCCAAACAATGCGACTTTCGTTATGCGATTATACGTGGCTTGTATTTATCTCCCGCCACGACGTATGCAAGTGCGCAATGTTTCCCCGAGTATTTTGGACAAGATGCGATAGCTTTCTTAGAGGTTGAAACACGGCGCGTATTGCTTTACCCGTTCCTAAGTTGGAACAATAGACGAACTTGCGAATTGTTCTAACGTTTATTATGCTCCATGTTTCTATTCTGACTCTGGGAACGTTCCAAAAGAAAGAGAGAGAGAGAGAGGGAAAAAGAGAGAGAGAGAGAGAGAGAGAAAGAGAGAGAGAAGAGAAAAATGTTGGAAGATTGAAAAATAAATATTATAAAAGAACAGGAACATTTTCTCGTAAAATGTCGGCTTACAAAAAGAGAAAAAAGAGAAAAAAGAAAGAAAAAGAGAAAGAGAGAAAGAGGGGGAGAGAGAGAGAGAGAGAGAGAGAAGAGATGGTGGCAAAGAGAGAATGATGTTCTATAAGGTTAGAAATTTCGCGAGAGAATTAATCACGTCGATATAGCTCGATTATGAGGAGAACTTAAAGGGAACACTCTCAGGTCGCTATTAAGCTCTTGATCGTTCGAGTACTAATTATTCAGGCGGGTCTAACAATGGCAATTAAAATTTTCAACGATACGACGGGCACATACCACACGGGAATTTCATTTTATTGATATTTTTCCTACGCGTTAGGCGCACCGGGAATTTGCGAGCTTGGCTACCTCAACGTGAAAATAAAAATAACGCGTCCCTTTCACTCCGTTAATCGAATCTAACAGTACCTCGCATCTCTATAGAGATCTCAATTAACGAAGAGAAACACTTTACTGTTTTTACGTATGAAGTAGGAGCGTGAGATGGAATAATACGCGATAATAAAAAAAATTTTCCTACATCTATATCATAAAAATTTCACGAAGGAAAAACTAAAATTATCGATTATCCCACTGGCATGACCTTTTCAATCTCAACGAATGATATTCATTTAGAGAATCTAATTCGTCTAACCAGGAGAATTGACTGAAATTGCCGCTATGATCCTTTCAACCGCTATTCATGCGCTTGACTCAAGCCTTTACAGTCGCGCGGGAGTTTAAGCAAATCTTTTAATGAAAACGGCCAAAGTTTTCCACAGCGTTCCAACGGTGCTCACGATTCAGTGGAATTTCCTAATAGCATCGAAATCTAATCTTCTAGTCGAAAGATGAGAGAAGGTGAGAGAGAGAGAGAGAGAGAGAGAGAGAGAGAGAGAGAAGTTCAAATAAGGCCCAAAGGCTTCCTCGATGCTTAGCGAGTTCCTTGTTATTGTTATTGAGATGTGTAGATAGCACGTTTGAGCGTAGTATGGATATATAATTATATGTATAACTGTAGGCAAGAGAGGAATAGGAGAAGAGGAGGAGGAGGAGGAGGAGGTGGAGGAGGAGGAAGAGGAGGAGGAGGAGGAGGAGGAGAGAACAGAATGGATATACGATCTACAACAGTCAGTACCAAGGGAAATGGTTGACTAGGACTTGGTAAAGGGTGCAAGGTGGTGCAAGGGATGGATTTGGTGATGTAGTCAGTCTGAGATGTAGCCGCAAGCTATGCATATGGAATGTTCCCTCACGAGTCGGTGGTTTGAGAGGCGTTAACAGGGGGTCCCTTGATCCAGGACTGTACTATCTTAATTAATTTCTTTTTGATTTAGAAATGTTAGGATAAAATCTCACTTTTCCTAGAAATATAAATATAGAAATATAAGGTGGCTATAGTCACCTTTTATATTTCGGAGTCGTCCTGCTAGCTTAATGGTTGTTTTCCATAACAAGATTATCTTGCTGTTTTTTTCTTTCTTTCTTTCTTTCTTTCTTTCTTTCCCCACTCCTTCTCTCTTTCTTTCTTTTTCCTTTTGCAATCGGTAAATCATTAACAACGTTACGAGGTCATATGGAAATTTTAAATGCATTATGCAGTGGCCGCGTACCACGAAGTTTACGGACATTAGAGTTATTGAAAGTGTTGCTATAACTATTTAGGAAGAGCTAACTACTGAATTAACCGACCTCTCCTTCTCAGAATGAAAGTTCACACCGTTAAGAAAGTTCATAAGTTTATATAGACTTTAATTTTACGTTAAACTTCATCTCAGCAAAATCGTTTTAGTTTTGGCTTACTTACACTTTCGCGGTCAGAGCGCGAAACGTTAAGGAGCTTTGAACGTTAAGATTGAGAGGTAAACGGTAGACGGTGTTTATGCTAGAAAGTAATACTATGAAATTTAATCCTCCTGCCATTTAGGTCACGTAAAAAAAAGACTAGGAAGAATTTTAATTTTGCCCAATTCCTTCCTATTTGATTTTATCGAAATCTCATTGTTATTGAAATTGGCAAGGGATACTCCGCGTCTAGAATTTAAGTGCTATAGACTTTTAGGATATTTGCTTTGAGCATGAACTTTCGAAGAACGTGCCGTAGAAGTGACATCTGCAAAGAGAATTTTAAGTCAATGCCGTAAGCACATAGAAAATTCATCGTTCTCGCGAATTCGCGTCGTAGTTCCACGCTTCGTTTGTATTATATATTCTCTGTAAGAAGCAGAAAGCATCGTGGTATCAAGCAGCTTTTCTCTTTGAAGCGATCAAGTAAGGAGATAATTATTCTTCGTAGAAATCATCGAAAAAAATTTCCTACGGAACAAGACTAATGATAATATGATAAAACAACAATTAGAATTAAATACAGGGGTGACTTGTGCGCAGGGTAACTCGTGGGCGTTCAACATCACTGGTCGTTCGACCACCCTACTACCATTTCGAGGAGGGTGGGCTCGCAGGAGCGCGGCGGCGAGGGATGATTTTGGTTTGCCTCTCAGTCGTCACGACGGCAGCGCCGTGCCGGAGGCTCCAGTCCGATCGCAGCATCACTTGCGGTGCTTTCGCGCGCGCTTCTCTCTCTCTCTTTTCCGTCAGCCAACGAACGGAAGCGATTATTTTTTTTTCTTTTTCTTTCGTTATATCTACACGAGAGAGAAACGCTTTCGTCTGAATCTTCTCTCGTTCTTTTTTTTCCTCCCTCTCTTACTCGCGCCATTTTCATCTCTCTTTCTCTCTTTTCTCTTCTTCTGCTTTGCGCGAAGACGAAGAGAGAGAGAGAGGAACAAAGATAAAAGGATAAACCGCGTGTGTTATGAAAAGGGAGAAGGACGGAGAGAGAATGAGAGAGAAAAAGAGTGACGACCGACATTGATAGGCATACGTGAAGAAAAAGCGAAGAAAGTGTAAGAAGAAAGAAAAGAAAAGAGAGACATACCCTTCAACACTTTCTCACTCTCATTTTTTTTTCTCTTTCGGTAACGACATGTAACCCGAAAACAATGGGAAGAAAAGTGTCGGAGTATAAATTTCGACGTGGACGCGGGATCGAAAAGCTAAATGTTTCTTCGCGCCGAAACTCGCGGGGAATAACGAGAACGCGGTATTAACCGATGAATCTTATTTTCTTCCTGCGTTTTCTCAGTCTCCTCTTCGTCTATCTGATCCTTGCCGTATTGTTTTTCGATTGAATTCTCGCGCCTTGCTCTCATCTTAATCCTCCGTCGGGTTACGTCAATGAAGAGAAGAGATTGAAAACTCGTTCACTTTACTTCCACCGTCAAAGAAGTTTCGCTGTTTGGTGCTACGTGTGCGTCGCGACTTGAAATCAACGAGATTTCATTTTCACCTTTTTCTCGAGAGCAAGTGGACTATGTGCATTTCGGTATATACGCTTCCCTTCTTTTCTTCAACTTGAAAAGATTCGAAGTAATCATTTAAGCATTTATGAAAATTCTTTGTGTTACGACTGTGTCGGACTAATATCAAATTCATCTAATCTTCAAGGAAGAAAAACAGTGTCATCGATTGATAACGATCGTTAAACAGTCGCGTGAAGAGTGTATTGCGATAAATAAAAAGAGAAATCTAAACTCGTTATCTGTCGACATTAATCTCGCGCAGCGAGAAAATTACGAGGGTGGAACATAACAAGGATCACTAACACGGTGTGCTTGTCGCAAGAAACGACTTCGAAGAGGATTCATCGGAAGCTCTGCTCGTGTTCTTGCAAGCTCGCCGAGTTGGTGAATTAAAGGGCAGTGCTCTGATAAAAGTGAATGGATCTTTCTTGTATATCAAGTGCCACGCGTCGAGTTTTTTACATCATCGTTACGTTCCACCGGTCTCGCGCCATTTTCATCATCCCCGTTCCTCTTTCGTGTTTCCTGTTGAGATCGAAGAATTTGAAGAAAACGAAGAAGGAACAACGACCAGCTCTCTATCGAGGTAAAGCCTCTTTTCTTCAACTATTTTCTTCCTTCTACTTATCCGTTACTTCTTTTTTCCTCCTTTGTCTCGTCGTCTCCCTTCGCTCGACTCGTTTTACAAATCGATTTTCCTCTATCTATAACGCGGCTCTCTCCTCGACGTAATCTTTCGGGAAAGCCACGAGAAGGCTTTTCAATTTCAAAGGATTCCAACGAAGTTTCGAGCTCGTTCAAACACTCCGATGGTATATTTTCGAACGGACGAAAAGAATCCCTTGTCTCGAGACTCCGTCGAGAGTCGTTCGGTTAGAAAAAGAGTGAGCTTTAGGATCGAAAGTGTAATAGAAGTTTAATTCTCTTTGATATCCAATTTCGATTGGTTTAACAGGTGTGTCAGACTTCATTTCGATATCTCAAAATACGTATTTTTGTTGTATCGAGTAACAAGTTTGTTATTTTAGACGATGTATCGACGAAACCCTTTGGAAATTATAAATCAATTCTTTGAATAATCCCGGATCTTTTTCACTTCCTTTTTTAATTCGAACTTATGATATAAACGTTCAAACTCAAATAGAGTTATAGTCATAATGTGATCCGTTACTTGCATGTTATAGACATTATAGACAGAAATTTCAAAGTAGAATGTACAACGATTCTTTCTTTTTCTTTCGATTATCAATACATATTTATGGCGACACAAAGTGATACATAATTCCTCTTTCTCTCACTTTTCCAACAACGCAATTCAGAAACATATTAAAAATCTATCCATTCTCCCTAATTTTTGTAACAAACCGTGTCGTATGATGGCTATTAATATACATTAAAGTTACGTGTCCGTGACGCGAAACCAATATGGTCTTTTATATGAGTGTCAAATAAAAAAAAAAAAAAAGTGAATTAGACTTCTCGCCTCTTTTAGAAAAGTTTCCCTACGAAAATTTTTCCACAGCGTAAAAATTCATTTTCCACGGTGTACCAACTATACGAGGAATGAGGGAAGCATCGAAAAAACAATCCCGGATGCTCCTTCAAGGACCATCGACTTGCCGTGCCGTGGCACCGTGCAACGGGGTAACACACCCTTAATGCATAATAATTAAATGGCCAGCCTGATTTCGCCTTCGAAAAGTTCATTTCAATTTACAAACGGGTCGTCATGACGATAATGTAGCCATGGTAAGAGGAAAATTCAATTCCGTGAACACAGACAACCCTAATGGATTCGTCATAAAAGAATGTTGACCGTCAGAAATGGAAATAGTTTAAAATCTTTTAATCTGCTTCTACCATCTTTCTCGAATAAAAAAGAAATAAGAAGAAGATGAAGAAAGTGTGAATTGGGGGTGGGGGGTAGGGGGAGAAGAGAGGAAAGTGAGAAGTGGGATCTCATTAAAATAAATACAATCGTATAATTCTCTGAAAAACGCAATATTTCTCCGTATGAAATCGATTACAGTAAAATTATTTCTGATAATCCTTCCGTTGTCAATACCTAGAAAGAATTTCAAAGCAGTTCCTTTGTTTTAAATGACAACGAAATTTCAACTATTATTCGTATTCGTAATTCTTTGCATTCTTCGAAAAAACGAACGTTATTATTCTCTTTCATTTAATTGGAATCGAATGAAACTAAATTTAATGAACGCGTAAGAGTTTGTTAAACGGCCATTAAAAGCAAACGCTTGATCTCTATAACAAAAGTGTAGGGAATAAGATAAAACGATTGGAGAATTTATGAAAACGAGATCAATTAATGCTCAATGGTGGTAACATAATGAACAATCTGTTATATGAATGATATTTTCCTGATTGACTGTACGCAAATACATAGTACGTAGTATGGCGGACGGTAAACCGTATCGACGTCGTTTTTCTTGGACAAGAATTGATCTCGTTGGAATAATAGAACTCGAATCTCACAAGAGCCGAGAAGAAGGATCGTCGAGTAGATGCGGAAGGGACGAAGGGAGGTAGGTACGATTGGTGAGATGGAGAAGAGGTCGTCGGTAAGAGAGGGGAATCGAATAATGGGTGAATCTCGCGCAAAACTCGGATGATTGATGGAAGAAGCGGATGGAGGACAGAACGCGTGGGAGATAGTAGAGGTGGTAGCGATAGTGTTGGTAGTAGTGGTGCTACTGGTGGTGGGAAAAGATGGCTCGAAAAACAAAAGAGAAGACAGGAAGTAAGTGTGTATGTGTGTTCAGAAACGAACAAACGAGCGAACGAGTTTGTGTGCTCGGAATAGGTCAGTGTACACGTACATACGTACAATCTCTTCGATCGAACTCGAACGACTCTCGATAATAATGATAGCAGTGTGACGTAGTGCACTACGCCGTAGAACCGTCGATCGTCCGTCTCTCGAATAATGAGATTTCTATCTTTTCGAAAAGGAATATTTATCATTCGCATATCCAACACGGAGGCGACTTCATGCCAGCATCTATCCGATCCGTCCATACGATCTTTCGATTTTCTTCTGAAAATAACGAGAAATAAGTTATTACGTATTTTGACGATAACTCTTATTGTCATACGTAATAACATTTGCTGCATCCACGTATAGAGAAACTGCATCATTCGTCACTTTTCATATATGTATGTCTATATATATATATATATATATATATATATATATATATATATATATATATATGTGTGTATGTATGTATGTATTTACTCTCATTTCACAATGTACAGAACTCTCATTGAAAAATTCACGATGTTACCTCTGCTTTCTTTCTCGACTGTAATTTCTGACTTTCCTCCACGCAGATATAATATCCTTCTTGTTATTCTTGCGAATGATAAAATGTTAGCGAACATATATTGTCTCAAATAAGTCAAAGGAAACGATATTTAAGAGAAATACTCGTTGGAGTTTATTCACTATCCGAGCAAGCTTAAATCAACGTAGATATGTACACACAGTTTCCTGGTTGGTACACTCATTCAAGATAATTTTTAATACATTTAATGTTGGTTATCTCTATTGTAATTCACTTACTATTTTATTGAACGAAATAATTAAGTAAAAAAAAAAATAGCCGCAGAAAAAGAAGAAAAAAAAGAGAAATAGAGATAGATAAATATAAAACGTTTTTACTCGTATTGGTTCAGGATTTTACAGTCCTCTGTATCGTAGTACCACGCGAAATAATCTTATCAGTCCGTCATCGATTTAACGACAAAATGATGCGGAAAAGCCAACCATAACTTTCGATATATGTCGAATATCAAAATACAAATGACATTATTGATATCGATGACCTCCTCGTGTCGATCTCGAAGAATTTCAACTCCAATTGGTTATACGAGGAATTCGTGACTGTAAAAAAGAATAAAAAATAAAAATAAAGAAGAATTTGTACGAGAAAGTAAGGGTATTTACATCTTTCTCGTGAAAGATGAAAAGTGTAACGTGTCGTCATATGGACGAACGCATTCGCGAAAGGAGAGCAATTGCGCGGCTAGAATATATAATATCCTTTATCGTTCGATATTCAACGAGATACGACAGTACGGACACGCGGGATTAAACTAATCACTCACGGTTTCGAGCAAGCACAACGATTCTACACGTTTCGCATCGAAGGCCGATTAGCGCATTTGTCATGCAGCTGGAGTATCTCGGGTTTGAGCGTAACCCATTAGAGAGAAAGAGAGAGAGAGATAGATAGATAGAAAGAGAGGGAGAGAGAGAGCTAGACGCAGAGACATGAGTAGTCTGAGCTCATATACCAGAGAGAGAGAGAGAGAGAGAGAAAGAGAGAGAGAGAGAGAGAGAGAGAGAGAGAGAGAGAGAGAGAGAGAAGGAGGCAGGGCATACAATGCCTGCAGCCGTGCAAAGACGATGATTCGAACTCTCCTAAGTGAACGCCGTCCATGATCAATGGAGGGATGATCCTATACATATTTTGGAGTAGATGTTATGGATGGAGGAGAAGCGGTTCGTCATCCGTCGAAATTCTGCGCGTGACATTGTCCTCGGTTCCTCTTTCATCTCCTATCTCTCTCACAAACGTACACACGCATGCATGTCTTCCACTTTCAAGAGGGATTAATCTATAGCCATACACCAATGGGTGTTATCTCGATGCAATATGCAACGCATATCCGTGAGGCTTATAGATTAATGAAGTATGACGAGAGAAACGATGGCTTTCGCGCGTCCAAAATTACTACGAGCTCGTGCATCTCCAAGGTAATCTTTCGCGTGTGAAAGATCGTTCCGGTTGAAGATATACGTTCCGCATTATGATGGAAAAGTCCTGTAAGAAGGATATCCTATCGTATCCTTGGATTTGTCGCGCGTGGAAAGATCTCATTTCGAAGCGTCAAAAAAAGTTTTTTTTTTCCTTTTTCTGTTCTTATCGTTCTCGGGTAAATGGAAGAGAAGAGTAGTATGTGAGATACATTCTTTCAAGAGAAACGACGTGTATACGTCGCCTCATGGAAGTGTCGTGAAATTGTGTTAGGAAGTTAATCGAAGAAAGAGTCCGAGTTACTATCGAAGGACGGCTGTCAGGAAAGAGAAAGTCCTTCGATTCTTTCGACGTTTTCGTCGATAAGTGTTTCCTATGACTGAACGAGTCCTCGCATCCTTTCATTTCATCATTCTCCGACAATAGTATGGATGAACGAGTGTATCAAATTTTGATGCGCAACGTCCAAATATTCAAAGATTGAAAACGTCATCGTTCTCAAAGTTATTCCCATAACTTTACTCGATGCCTCTTTCCCGATAAAAAAAGTTCCTATCGACGCTCCTCCATCGTTTTCACATTGCACGTACATTCCTCTGACGGTTACCGTACTTCCGTTTTACCGTGATAACGTGCATAAATACAGACTATGTGGAGTGAAAAGTGCATATGAATTTCAAGAACATGACACGTACCTTCCACGGAAGAGGCCGTTTTATCCCCCTTTTATTTGCACACGGCTCGTTAGAGGTTTACAAATGCGCTGCGTTCTCGCAACCTGTTTTTACCCTTCCATTCTTTTTTC